GCGGGGCTGGGGCGGTTTGGAGGAGCTTCAGGAGGAGCAGCTCCTGCCGTAGGAGAAGTTGTCTGAGGACCAGCCGGCCGGCGAGAGCGCGGCTTGCGAACGGCAACGCGCTGTCGCCTCAACGTCGAGGCCGAATTCGCTAACGTGATGTTTTTCTGCCGGCAGCAAGGAGTTAATGGCGTGATAAACCCACCGAAGTTTGTTGGGTTTGGGGCATGGATGCCTAAGGCCCCATCGTGTGCTCTCGAGCTGCCTTGGCACCCCGCGCACGCGTGACCCGGGCTCCCTAGAAACTTCCCTGTTTCTCTCTGTGCGAAAAGATGTCTCTATAAATAAGAGCGATATTTGGGTAAGAGTGTCTCTATTGTTAAAATCTCAAACCCCATCAACTTTTGAGGAGGAACACATTTTTATGGCACAGACCCCCTTTGCCGTTAGTATTTAATCTCCTCCAAATTGGATGATTAATGTAATGAAGGCGCTGAAACTGTTTCCAGAATTCAGACTACAGATGTTTCGTATTTATTATGTTTCCAAGGGCTAAGATAAATACAGGAATAAGTGATACCATGTCTTTGCTTGACATTCAGGAGGCTTTGGCGTAGCAGATGAGATACAGTTTCAGGGTTTATCTAAGTGCAGAGTTTGTACAAAAAGAAAAGAGATACCAGCTGCTCTTTTAGCTCCCCCCCCCCTCTCTTTTTTCCCTCCTATAAAGGTTGAAAACCATTTTTGGCGGATGCGTGGGCAAATTGTAGTATTGACTAGGAGACTGATACTGCCCAGAGGGCTCTTTGCCGGAGCTGCCGGAGAGCCTCTGCTCCTCGAGCCCAGACGCTCGGCTGCTGGTTTCAAACTGACTGCAGGGGTCCAGGCGCGGGGCCCCCTCCCCGCCGTGGGGCAGGAGGTGCGGGGGACCCCCTGGCTTCCGTGCCCTTTGGTGGGATGTCCGGTTTGCAGCAGTGGTGTGCCGGTACGGCCTGTGGCCGGGACGGCTGCGGCGCTTTTGGTTCCCTTGGAGGTCTCAGCCTGAAATGTCTCGGGCTCCGACTTCAGCCGCAACATGCCCTCCCCGGTGGGGGCTCTCGGGCACGTGCTCTTGACTTTGGTGGAGCCACACCACTTTGCACCCGGTGAAGATCTGACCTAGGAGCTGCTTCTTTAGGTCTTGACGGCAGCTCGTGCGTAGCCCTTCAGCCGCTCTCCGAAGTATTAACGAAGCGATTTCCGTAGAAACCGGCTCCCCGCTTGGGATGTGGAGGTGGATTTTGAGGGGTGTGCTGACGATGCGCCGGCCTCGCTACCGCCGCCGCCCGCGGTTGTAGCCCTTAGCCTGCCGTTCGGGGTAGCGCGGTGTTCGGTGGTGGGCCCCCAGCAGGAGCTCGCGGCTGCTCCCGGTCTCCGTGCCAGCGGAGCCGGGGCCGTTTGCTGTCCCGGTGCCCCGTCCCACGCTGCCGGAGTCGATGGCGAGCCGCCCGCCTGCTTCGCTGGGCGCGGGCTGGGGCTTTGCAGCTCGAGCTTTGCTGCCGCCGCGTGCACTTGCGTGCCGGGCGATACCCAACGTGTAATGAGTTGGGGAAAGTCCTCCACGAACCACCCGCCGCGTGGCGTGTTAACCGTACCGGTGGCTTTAAGGTGCACCTGGCTGCACCGTGGGTGCTGGGGGAAGCCCCTGAGGTTTTGGGTAAGGATAGGAGGAAATTTTCAGACAGACTGGCTCAGTCCTTGCCCAGACAGAGCTCCTGGCACAGCCCGGGTTTCTCAGGAAAGCCCAGAGGTTTTTCCTCCCAAATGATCCCTGTGGTTCCTGCGTGGTGCCGAGCGATGCCGGACGCGAGAGCGTGGCCTGAGAGGAGGAAGGGCTCCGTCCTGCTGTATCCCTTTGCGACAGTTGGGTGTCTTAGTTGTTAAAGAAAAAAACCAAAACAAACAAACAAACAAAAAAAACAAGACAAAAAAAAAAAGTAAAATAAGAGAATAACTCGCACCGTGGGCCATGTCACACCTGTTCTTTCCTCTGTCCCCATGCTCTCTGTAGGTTCGGCGTACCCCCCCAGCTGGCGCAGCGCCCAGGGAGCCCCGGACGTCTGGCAGTTTTCGGATGGAAGTTCAAGAGCACTTAAATTCTGAAAGGAGGTGAAGCTGGGGTGAGCGGCCGGCGGCGACTCGGCGTCCGGAGGTGGCCTCTGTCCTGCTGGCTCGCCGCATCCCCGGGAGAGCCTGAGAAGTCACCCCGCCGAAGGCAGCGCTCCCCGGGCTCCTCCTGCCTGCAAGACTATCGTATTTATATTTTGTAATAGAGTACAACACTTCTTTGGGGTTGGGGTGTTTTTTTTTTTTGTTTGTTTGTTCGTTGATTTCTTTTTTTATTTTCTAAAAACAAAAAAAAAAAAGCAAACCCACCCACCAAGGTCAAGGGCTTATCGATGGCTTCGACTGGCTCCTTTCCCCGCAAAAAAGACTGTCTTGCTCTCGTGGACAACCCGGCCTGTTGGTTATCTCCATGACGTGCCATTTCTTGGAAGGCGCATCTGATGTGACGAATTAAAAATAAAACAAAACACAGTGTAGGTCTGTGGGTGGGTGGGAAATTGCCATAATAAATGTTGGAGCTTTAGGTTTTGTTTGCTCTGTCTTTAATTTTTAATGCTAACAAGGGCCAGGCGTCTGGTATGACTTTGTATTACCGTATTGGCTGCAGAAATCCAAGTGCAGAGTTTACAAAGAGGAAGCCGGGGCTGGTGTCGGTGCGAGGGGCTGCACGGCCCCGGCGGGCAGATATTCCCTGCAGAGCTAGACCAGGCACCGGGCTTACGGCCGCGGTACCCCAAGTCGTGGCGAACCCCCGTTGGCCTTTGGTGATGCTGAAGCCGGGGGGGGGGTTGTTTCCCAGCTCTCCTCCGTCGCCCGCCTCCTCTTGATGAATGCTGGCTGTCATATTACATTTTCTGCTGTTCAACTACATACTTTTGGGGCTGGTGGGATCCGTAACGTCCCTTAGTGTCCGTCCAAGGAGAAGCGAGGCCAGCCGGTGGGTTTCAGGAGGAGTGGTAGCCTTGCTACGGAGGTGCTGTCAGTACCAGGGGATGGCAAAGCCCTGGCCCGAGCCGGGGTGCTGGGGGGAGCTGCTATCAGGTTGGTGTCCCGGTGTCTCCCACCGAGTGCTCCACCCCTTCCTCGGCTTTCCCTCTTGCCAGCGACGCTCGTAAGGAGTTTGCTGGTTCGGGGCCCAAGCGCTTTGCTGAACAGAAGACGGGTTAAGTGCGTGCTTGTGTGCCGTCTCTGATGGGATTTATAGGCTGTAGCTACTCCTGCCTGTGCCGGCGAGCGGGAATGGACCTTATTTGGTGAAAGAAACCAGCTGGGTAGCGAGTGGAGTCGCTGGTCGGCCGTGTCAGGCTGCCAGGACACCCGCTGCCAGTCGCAGTGGGACGGAGCCGAGCCGCGGGGCAGGGGCCAGCTGATTTATTTGCTTTGTGCATCAGCTTCAATCTCACTCCTGGTTTTATTCATCTCCTTTCTTAAAACCTGAGCGAGACACCCGGCTGGGGTGACTCTCTCCCGACAGAACGGCCATAGGGAGAGTGACGTTGTCTTTTTGACGGGTGGTGGTTGCTCTTTTGTTTTTCAAAAACCCAGGCTGTAGTTCTTGTGTGGGCCAGGGCACAGCACAAGCACAGACACTTTTGTACCTTAAAGCTCGGCAAGGGGCTGGAGCACCTCCGCATACGGCCATAGGGTCAAGTTGGGAGCCCCGTGGGACCTGGTGCGTGGGCATGGGTTGACTCAAAAGGACATTTTGCTGCTTCTTTTAAGGCCATTTGGTCTTTGAGTTCCAATCAGTCTGCACGCACCCTGAGCTTTTTTTTTTTTTATCATTAGGAGATGTTTTTAAAGGTTCTTCCTATCCCAGCCTATGCTACCACCTCCGTGTCTGCTCATAAGGGGTTTTTGAGCCTTGGAAAGGTGAATCTCGTTGCATTAAGCATCCTATTGATTGCAAACCCACCATCAGTAAGGAGTTAGCAGCTCCCACTAGCTGCCGGCACCCCAGCTCCTGCCCTGGGGTGTCTCTGTACCAGACAGCTGCATCAGATGAGGGCTAACAGAATTATTAATTGCAAAGGAGGTTGCTGTGCTCACTCCTCCAAATTACAAACCAGGGATCACCTGGGATGTATCTACAGCAGGTCTGCAATGCTTATAATAAAGGGCAGCTGTGAAGCTGCTTTGTAAGGGGTTTTCAGTGTTCTGGCCGGTTCTAGTGGTGCTTTTATCCTTACTTTGTCTGAGTGCAGGCAAAGCTCAGGGCATAGATGGCTTCTGGGGTAGCTGCTCGTGCTTTGGTGCTCTGCTTTCTCCAGCTGTGGCCCAGGTCTCCTCCAGCAGCCAGTGCAAGGCAGGTGTTTCTCCCAGGAAAAGCAGAAAATAACAAAGCTGTGACAGCTAAATGAGCTCTACCAAGCACAGAGGGGGGAAAAGTTATACCTGTCCTTCCCTGAAGTGATGAAGGTGAAGTGAAATAGTCCTTAAAATGTATATTTTTTTTATTACAGGTGTTGCACCCCTCCTCCCAACTATTAGGACTTTAAAACAGCTGCGGAATTTGTGTTGCCTTAAAGTTGCAAATACGTGTCACGGCTGTGCTGGGGGCTCCTCTCCCCTGCTGTGAGGCCTGATCCTGCTCCCCAGCTCCTGCTCCCCGGCTCCAGGCTCTGCAGCCGCTGGGGCGAAGCGGCAGGGCAGCCCCAGCACCAGGCTCTGGGCGAGCTACAAGGGTTTCCAGCACCTTGTGTGACCTGGGCTGCTGCGAGCTTTGATTAGGGATATTGTTAGGATCCTTTTTTTGTCTGGCCAGGACTTGGCTGCTGCAGAGCCCTTCGCTGTATCTGGGTGTGTGGAGGATCGGCAGCCGTCACGTTATAGCGGCTTAATGAGTTTCTGCCAATTAACAGGAGTCAAGGTTTTCCTGTGAGGGGAGAGCTGGAAACCTCAAAGCTGGACGTTGCTCTGTTTTCGGTGCAAGGGGGCAATACTCCTAGGGATTTTGTATTTTAGCATGTTCCCCAGGTGCCAGTCTGCACATCAGAGTTAAAAAATGAAGTACATTTGGTCTTTATGAAAAAACAAAGCTCTGAAAATCTTGGAGTTTTTAATAAACAAAAGAAAAACTCTTTCCCAGTCCACAGTGCTGAGGTGAACAAGATACCTGGGAATTAGCTAGCTTAGCTTTGATTTTTTGGGGATTTAAAAAGCTGCTTTTAAACTTGAAGGCGATTTGACTGTGCTGTATTTTATTTCTAAGCACACTTTCATGACACTAAAATGCAGCAAAGGTCAAGTCTTTTGTGAAGCCTAACTTAAATTTTGCTTTCAAAAATTATATATATTTTGAATTCGTGATGCGTTTGGGCCATGGGCTTTTACAAGATGAGAAAGCTCTCTCCAGAAGCGATCTGAAAACAGATCTGAAAACCTGTGACTGAGATTTCAAGCAGCCCTCCCAATCACCCCATCCCCCCCGCCATGTTTCATTTCAACCCCAGCTTCGTGTCGGGTCCCACTCAGTGACCCGTGGGACCAGCGGCAGCGTCGGGCTCGGGAGCATCGTGGTGTTGGCGGCAGCAGCGGGACTGCAAATTCGGGGGAAGGTGGAGGGAAGCACCATTCTTCTCGGGCTGCTGGGGGTTATTTTACCAACTGTGCTGTTTACCTTGTACTTCTGTTTTGCATCTCACTTTTTCTGTTGCTGGGTGTGTTTGAGCTGTCTGGATGCTGACGAAACCCGGGGTGAGCCTTTACCTGCAGATTTTTGGTGGTGAGGTGAAGGACCTGCTAAACATAGCTGCCTTTCCAGGGCTCCCTGCTCTGGTGCGATATTTCACGTGATCCCACTATAAATAATTCTCCAGGACTGAGCTGAACCACCCCCCAAATGAGAGTGGTGCCTCATTTGTTTCTTTTTTATTCCCTGCTTCCCCCACCCAGTTTTCCCATTTCAGGCATGATTGGGCATCATCATTCAGCTGTATGTTGTATCTACTTCAAGTTGATAAAACCTTGTTGTCCCTCCATCCCAACACCCCCTGAACCTCCTCTCCCCCCCGAAGTCACTCTCTTAACATTCATCTTCTGCAGAGGTCCAAATAATCAATTATTTGCAAGACGGATGGAGTGGGGGGAGGACAAACACAACAAAAAAAACCCCAAACCCAAAATATGGCCATTATTCCTTAATCTCACTGGATAGAGTTACACATCTGGTAGAGGCTTGTTCGTTGTTGCTATTACTTTTATTGCGTCTTTAGCAGTGATGAAGTTCAGATGGCAGAACCAGTGGGCCCCAATTTAATTTCGTCTGGCCTCCTGTAATGAGCACGATGTGATCCCTGGGAAATGCTGGCTCGGCCGCGGTTCCAGCGGGCAAGCGCTCGAGTGCCGTGGTGACGGGCAGAAGTGGAGTGGACAGACAGCTGGACAGGCAGAACCCCACGGTGAGGGTGGGGGGGTGGGAAAAGGGAGAAAATCTGGAAATAGGGATGATAACGGGCGGGCGGAGGTGTCTGTGCTGTGTGAGCATCAAGTACTGCAGTGAGATGGATAGATGGACCGATAGCTTTTCATGTCAAAACCCAGAAGCAAGATCACGAGGTGGATTTCCACCTTCACTGGTGGCTGGGTTGTGCGCGCCGTGATGCTTTCCGAGGTCGTTCTAACCCTGATGGCTCTTCCCTGGTGATATCCATGACCCTCTGGGTTTCCAGTGGCGATGTATAGAAGCTCCCACCTCTTCCCCAATGTCTGCAAATGCATGTGTCTAAGGGCTATACAGGATTCATTTACGGGCCTCCCGTTGGTGGGATATGTGCATGCAAAATGAAGGTTGTATTTGGCTTCTCATATTCAGATCTATATTCCATATTGTGTTGACCAAGAAAAACAACTCAGCCCCCGTGCTGAAGAATGTGATGGACTGATGACTTTCAGAAACATACTGTAAATCAAGGAGGCTAATAAATACTTGCTATTAATAAAACAGGGCTACTGCCTTTCAAGTTATTTTCACATTTTACAACATCTTAATTTAAATGGCATGACAAAGGCCATACTGCTGGACCTTCCCTCCTCCCCCAGCGTGGTTGTTGCTAAGCTTAACCTCCTCAAATGTCCAGGCAAGACGAGATTGCCCACAACAAGAAAGTCTAGACGGAGCAGTAAGACCCCCTGCCCAACCCCAGCCAGCTGATGAGGGGCTGGCCCCAGTGACAGGGTCCCCTTGGCAAGAAGTGGCCTCTCACCGGGTTGTCCCTATGGGCTGGCAGAAGATCCTCAAAGCTCGTCCAGACCAATGCATCAAAGAGCCTGCGGTCAAAAGCTGTACCACCTGCACCAGCTCATGCTAAACCTTTAATGCTTCCCAGTTGCGAGCAAAGCTGCTCCAGGTGGTAAGCACACAGGCAGAGCATCTGCAGGCTGCTTAACCCTTTCCACCAGGTTTCTCGGAGTCTGCACGGTGTCCAGGCAAGAGGTTGGGCTCGGGTGCTGGTGGCCAAGGGCCTCCTGTGAAGCACGCCTGCAGGCAGCAGAAAATGGGGCTGTGAACTTGCTGCTTGAGCATCTGTAGCAGAGCTCATAGTGCCTATGGGGATGCCAGATCACTCCTCAGATATCTGTGCCCTTGCAAACCCGGGACACTTTGGGTAGAGGATGGAGCCCGAAGTAAACCTTTATTTTTTTTTTTTTTCTTTATGTGAGTGTCTGTCCTTTCCCCGACCTCTGCATCGGTGAGCAGAGCCCAGTGGCTGTGACATTTCGGTCCCCCTTCCCTGTGGGCTGAGATTGTCCTCTGGCAGCCCTTGTCCCACAGCTCATCTCCAGGAAAGCCCCTGTTGGTGGGCAGTGTGGGGTCTGCCCAACCCGGTCTCCCCAAACACCGCTGCACCCCTAATTCCAGTATGGATAAAACTTATTTTTTTTATATTCTCCTCCCAACAAACCTCTTCCCTGCCACCTCCCCAGCACACTCCCTTGGGGTTTGGCTTTTCCATTCAGAGGCTTTGGGAAGCAACATCCCTTTGGGAGCCGCTTTGCACCTGGCTGCTCCTGTTGGCTTTTTGCTGCCTAAAATCCTCTTTTAACTGTTTTTCTTTTTTTTTTTTTTTTTTTTTTTCTTTTCTTTTCTTTTCTTTTCCATTCCCTCTCTCCCCTGCTGAAGAGATAGCACCTTCTGCAGCTGTAGTGATTAAAGGGGAGGGGAAAAAAAAGCTTATTTAAAGTAGAGCCTGGCAATATAAAATAAGGTGTGGAGGTGATGAATGATCCCAGGGTATATTAAAGCAGGAGCTGGCATTTTCGACATCGCTCCTACCCGCGGCGTGTTTGAGCACCTCGGAGACTGGCTGTTTTGAAACACTGAGCATCTGCCCCTGGGCCCTAATTTGGGCAAGTTTAAAAATGTCCTCTGAGATTTAGTCAAGTTGTTGCTGTTTTCCTCTCCTGGAGACCCTGGTGCTGCCATATGGATGCGGGGCTGGAAGGGGAGAAGAGGACAGATCCCACCCCAGCCCGTCTCTGCCTCCTGAGGGTCGGGGGATCAAAGGATGGGCACCCCTGGAAAGCACGGAGATGGGAAAAGCCTTCCCAGCTTTTAAATGCTTTTAAAAGGCTTTTGGAAGTGTATTCCAAGCATTGCTGTAAGAGGCAGTCAGGAGAAAGGGGGGAAAGGAAAGAGTTCATTGCATATGACTAGCAGGGCAGGCACGGGGAAATTATGCGTTTTTCTGGGCTGGCTTATTCCCTTCTGTGTATTAAACATTATTTTAATATTCAAGTGACAATGTTTTATAATTAAGCTAAATGTAAGAGATGGAGCACGCTGGAGAGCTTGGCTCGGTGTGAGGAGGTGAGGCAGGTTTCCACCTGATGCCCAGGATTAACCCCAGGTTGCAGCATCCTCTGCAGCAACGCTGGCAAGTACGGTGCCTGGCTCTTGAACGCCAATATGCCCCGCACTTGGGCAAGTGAAACCTTTAACTCATAAAGGTTGTAATGTTAATACAGAAGAAAAGCCTTTTAAAAAATTACATTAGTTCACAGACATCTATTGAACTCATGAGGGGAAATCTAGCCCCTGAGAGACAGAAACTAAAGAGCTGAGCCATAAACCAGTACGATAACATCCTTATTATAAGATGCAAATTAAGGGGCCCAATTCACTTTAAAAAAGCATTATGAGTATTTAATTTTTCTAGTGGGAATATCTCTGAAGTTGGCCTGTGTGTGGTTTTTCGTGCTGTGTACTTTAAAAAAAAAAAAAAAAAAAGTAAGTCAGGCCACGAAGAAGCTGCTGGAGGCAGAGTTGAAGGTTCTGAACGGTGACTTGGGTGTCAGAAGTAGCTGGTGCTTATCGTGGGCAGCAGACCATGTGTTCACACCGGATTTGAGTGGGGAGACTGTGGCTAAAGCCAGCAGCACGGTGGTGGGTTTCTGAGGGTGTAAAATGGGGTCTGAACCTGCCCTGAGGTTTCTTTTAAGTGTTTCATCTCTGGAGCAGCTGGCTGGGTCCCTGTGCATCTCTGGCTGGCAGCTTGGTACCAACACTGGTGCTCTGCGGGTCAAGAAACGTTTGGTTGGGATCCCATTTGAGTTTTGGGGGTTTTCTGGGCAACACGCTCCCTGCTCTTGGCATTGCCTCTCCTTTTGGGGTGCCTGAGCTGCCGTGATGCTGCTGACAGGGTTACGGGTTGTAGGAAACATACAGTCTGGCGAAGGGACCCACAGGGCTTTCGGGTGCTTTGTTTGAGGCACTTTCAGAGGGAGCGATTTGAGGCTTCACCATATCTGCCGGGTTTGTTTTTTTCTGGCCATTTCTTGTTTCCTGGAGTATTTTTTTAATTATTTCCCACTCCCCAACCCCCCAAAGTTGGAAGACGGTGTAATCTCTGCCCTCGCCTTCACCCTTGCTGTTTGTCATACACTGGAAGTTTAAGTCTTGAGCCAGGAGAAGGACTTGGCACGCAAGGTGGGGATAGCGGGGATAAAAGGGAGAGAGCCTCCGAGTGTTTGGTCTGCTCTCCAACCAGCTTTAGAGTTGAAAGGTCAAGACTTGATCAAAAAAGTAAAGAAAATGCGGTGCCATTAATTCACATCCTTAAAGACAAAAGGCCTGGTTCACCCGCCTGCGTTCTGGAGCCATTGGGAGCCTGGAATTGTCTTTTCAAACGTAGAAAATAAAACAAAACCCCTACCCTGAAAGACTGCTTTTCAGGCGGGCATTGTACAGCTCTCCTATATAATGCGCGGAGGTCAAGGGTTGAGTAAAATAGGGAGACCATGTAAATACGTTTATTTGAAACCCAGGGATTAGATGATTTTATTTATTTTGCAGCGTTGTAGAGCATCTCTCCAATTACAGAGATGAAAACCAGGACGGGATAGGAACTGCCAGCTCCAGATCCATCCCCGCAGCTCAAATTTGGGGTTGGGCTTCATTCCCACACCGTGGCCTCTGCCTAGCGCTCGGGGCATGGAATAACGAGGTTTTCCCAAGGTTGGGTTAATTGGTTGAGGAAAACCCCAGTCTCCAGCTGGGCCTCAATGGCTGAGCTTCAACCGAGCCAAGTCGAGCTCCAGCTGAGCCATGCGTTGAAACCTGTTTCTTATCCCAAGGCTGCCTCCCTATCCCCTTTCTGGCATTTGGATACTTATTTGTTTTCAAACCACTGTTTACAAGGAATATTGCTTCTTTTTAAAGCTGCACAGATGCACACAGCCAGCAAAGACCATAAAATAGTGGTAGGTAATGCCTGCTGTCAGGCGCTGCTGGCCGAACACTTAGAAATACAGACTCCTTGCTTTGAGGTTTTTCTTTTTTTTTTTTTAAAGAAAATAAATCCAGTATATCCTTCTTTTATCTTGTTTAGGAATCATAAATTTAGCAGGTAACAGGGTTAGTGGACCAGCTAGGCAGCTGTGTGGGCCACAGGTTAGTTAGGCTGGAAGTATTTATGGGGCTGTCGCTCAGCTGATCCCTGGCGGCGGGCTGCGCTGAGGGGGCTCATCACTTGTTGCACACAGTATTAAATACCTATTAAAAAAACCCACAAAACCCAAACAAAACAACCTTTTCTGATAGAGCGGTCCACGTCACAGTAATTCTCCTGCAGATATCTATAAAAAGGGGTGTTTTATGAGTGTTTTTCCCCCCCTACCCCTTTCTGACTCCACATAGGAGCGCCCGGAGCATCGTATGTACACGCGCGGCCAAAAATCACCCGACTGTGGAGACAGATGGGGAATTTTGCTCGTCATTTACAAAGTGAACTTTGTGGGAACGCGGAAGGTAAATATCAGGATGATATAAAGCTCGTGGCCGAACCCCAGTGACAATATCTCGGCCAGGCATGTTGGCATTTTCCATGCTGTTTCCCAGCTCACTGTGCACCCCCCTAAACTTCCCCCTCCCCTCAGTTTAGGAATAGGAGTCTCGTAAATCCTTCTGACCCGGATGCTTTATCGGGTCCCCCAGCTTCTCTCTGAGAAACCACGGCGTGGGTGGCAGAGGCGAACATCTGCGCAGGGGATATCCTCCTCCCACTCCTCCGCGGCCGGCCGCTATCGCCGCCGGGAAGGCAGTTGTGGTTTCATAGCTTTTTAGCTGCGAAATGAGGAAGGATGTCCTTCCTTGTGGTTTGCAATTACAGCGTAGAAAGTAACAAACGTATTTCTGCATCCCATCCCAGATTCACTCTCCTGCAGCTGGGCTGAGATAAGGGGCAATGCGTCGGGAAGCAAAACCCCGACGGTGAGCGAGTTATGAAAGTGATTGTAAAAGCTCCCTGGGAGATTAAATACTGGTCTGTGCCAGTGCATGGCTCTAGCAGCATTTGGAAATAGTGTTTATTATCACACAGCACCTTGCTAAAAAAAAAAAAAAAATTAAAAAATCAAAAAACACAGCCTCCCTTTGTGCCTGGGTTGCAGCGGTTGGGAACGTGATGCCCTAGATCAGCCTCCACCTTGAATCCCAGAAAGTCT